GATGTTAGATGGTGGGCAGAAAGTAGCTACCAGTAGTCCAAGCCGTGACTAAAGCCCGAGTTGAGGAAGCAGATATTGGGTTCTTTTCATCTAAGAGGGTATAATCAGCCACCTTTAACAATGAAGATGTACATGTACAGTGGAACCCTTCCTACAGCCCCTCATTGTTACGGCCACTTAATTTGTTCTGGCCCGAACAAACGCTCTCTCAGCACAGTCAATCATTTTCTTATTTAAACAACCCCTTAATACGGCCACCCTGTCATTATGGCCAGATTTTTGTGCCCCGTTGGTGACTGGATTAACCGGGTTCCATTGTACTACTTTGTTGTTCCATTGTATTGTTAAATTGGTGGTTGTTAATTGCTATCATTTTAATGCCGTGTTATTATTATGTGAAGCGTATATCACTTAGAGATCCTTGAAATGCTAACCGTGTCTGTCAAAATTCCTGGATTTGCAGTGCGTATAAATGAGTTTAGTACGTAATCTGGAGATCATGCTTTTTAGCATTAGATAAGACCTCATCTTTTTTGGTCGTTACCTTTTGTCTCTTTATCAGGTACTACTGTTGTCTGTTCCTGGCTAGAATGCGTTCAGCCCCTTTGATCAAGCTGGACAGAGACACTTGTGCTGCTATAGATGAACTAATTGACTTGTTTCTGGACAGCCATGTTCCAGATGAAATGTCAAAATGGGAGGAAGAAATGTCTGCTATTTGGATGACGATCATTCCTCTGGTTCACCTTGCTTTTGCTGCGGGAAAGGAATATTACCTATGCAGTTACGGCAATGACCAGGATGAGGACCAAACCAAGGACCAAAAATATGGGAACAATGTCCATGGTACTCATCAAAGTGAAGAATCTTGTTTTATGGAAAGTGAGCCGCCAACCAACTCCACACCCGAAGTGTACAATGCTAGCATGGCTAATATAAAGAAATCACAAGGTGGCTACCGATTATCCAACTCTGGCAGGAGACAAGAATTTAACCTGTCTGATGTACAAGTATCGCCTGAAAGTATGGAAGGTGCTACTTCATTAGTGTCTGAGAATAAAGGTGGTGTGGTTGCAGGACAGGAAAACCAATTCCTATGGCCAGGTTCCTCGTCAACACAAAAGCTTGGAGTCTTTTCCCTGGTACATACACTTTCCATTAAGGAGAATCTGCAGATAGCGTTATCAGAGAATCTCCTTCCCTACCTGGTTTGCTTATCTTGGCATCTCAACTCTGATGAGAAGGAAAAATTAAGCACCAGTCTAGCAAATTTTCACAGTGTTTCAGTACCTTCTCTGAAAGTTACTGCCAAATCTGTGCTTGCTACTGTTTATGGTTTTGACATGGTTTCAAATTTATAATGACTGTTTTTCAGGTTTTTATAGTTTTCATATGGTTGTCATCTTTTAGTGTGTACATTTATAACATGGTGTTTACTGCGCCTTTCAAAAACACGTTAATCGAATGGCGCGTTTCTTTGGGGTGATCTGGATCTTGGATCATGGTGCATCAAAGACACCAATGAATCCACTCTGGTCACAGATTGATTGGTTCCTTTGATCCATCATGCTCCGAGTGTCACATTCAGGATCACTGATCGTGATCCAGATCATCCCAAAGGAATGCACCCTAACTGACGGTTCTGGCTCCCCTCTATAAGCAAAAACTGAGTGGGCAAGCATGATATTCAAGAGCTGAATAGTGAATGTGTAAGTCACAAGTGAAGTAGCATGGGTGTTGAGAGTGAAAGTGAACGATTTTGGTTAATGACAAGTCATTCGGTCAGCAGTTCGACACTTTTTGGTCCTAATGTAGACTGTTCAAAGCCCTCTACTTTCTCGTATCTTTATTCGATCGTTGGACGCGAGAGAACTGGACTCCAGCGCAAAACAGAAGAGTTGACAGGGTAGGGGGTGGAGAATGAGAAAATTTGTTTAGCTCGCTTCACTCACCTCCCCTCCNCACCACCACCCCCACATGCTTCGCACTCGCTTCGCTCGCTTTTTCTTCTGTGTGCGTTGCAAAATAGGGAGGCTGTGAATAGTCAATCAAGCAATCAATCAATCAATCAATCAATCAACACTTCATTTATACAGGTTGCGCCTAAGAGCTGAAAAAGCTCGATCAAAATAGTCCTAATGAAAACAGCCCATTTTGTTTTCAAGAGTCGATCAATTCTACATGTTTTGTTTACTGATAGCAAGCAATAACTGTAACACCAAGACTGAACATAATACTGAGACATGAAGTTACGCTACTCTTGCTCCATTGTATCCCATGTGACGTGATTTGATAATTACCATGTAACCGTTAAATAACCAAATGGAAGTGCACAATAGCACAATAACATTAAAATAATAATAAATTTAATAATTACTGCCAATTTATTCAGTAGTATTAAGAGTTTTGTGTTCATAAGTTTTTTTAACGAATAAACAAGCTAAATGTAAGCTAGATACAGTGTTTTGGGTAGAAATTATTTTAAATTATTTGGACTCCACAGTTCTACAATAAAGCTGACAGATGGAAGGCCACTTTTACTTAGAATAAAGGAGGAAACGAGCAAAGATCATTTGCTCTCGCAAAGTAAGGCGGTACCGCTTCAGATACGCCAGTGGCCATGTTCAAAAACGGGTACGAGAATGACATATTTGGGAATGAAAGTGGGAGAGCACTGAGGGAACTGGGAAACGGATTCACGAAGCTCTCCTAAGTTAGGTAAAGATAAAGTCTGCATAAGAGCCAAGTGGCCCATCAGGCCAGAGCGTATCCCGGTTTCTGTAGCATGAAGCGACTAAGAATATGTCTACTCCGCCATGAATTGGATGCTAGTCCATCGCAGGGTTACCCCCAGCATTAAATTCGCCGGTACCCATTTGTAACCCTGGGTGGAGAGAGGCACTGTACATGTGAGAGTAAAGTGTCTTGCCCAAGAACACAACACAATTTCCCCGGCCACGAGCGGACTAACCATGAGGCCACCGCGCCTCCTTAGTTAGGGATGGACCATTATTTTTTTTGAGCGAGGGGTGGGCAGTTTTCTATAGCATGACTTTTTTCTCACCTCTAGGTTGTGCATGACTTTTTGGTGGTCAATAGCTTGCGCAAGAATATGGACACACGACCTGGATGATAAAAAGGATCGTGACCAAAACACTACACGAGTACATACGAGTAACATACGAGTGACATACGAGTAACATACGAGTGACATACGAGTAACATACGAGTGACATACGAGTAACATACGAGTACATACAAGTACATACGAGTAACATGCGAGTGCATACGAGTAACATACATGTCCATAGGAGCAACATACGATGGCAAGAGGGTAATAAACATGAAATGTACCATTTTTCTCTTTACATTTTATTTTTATCTTGTACACACACACACGAGCGCGCGCAAGTGCCAGACGCCCGTGCTTACCACACACGTACGCGCCTGTGACACGCGCACAAACAAATCTGAGTGCTGATGTGATATGATGCGACGATACATACAGTAATAAAAGGTAAAATAATCAAAATTAATAAACGGGCAGACTACAAGTATTTCCTGATCATTTTCTCTCATTGTGATTCGAGAGTCGAAAATCGAGGGTCGGGGGAGACAGATGAGAGAAACAGTTTACCAAATAAGGTGACCGTTGACTATTGTGAAGTTTATATGAAATAATTCATATATGAACTGCGGTTGTAGATGAAAGTGAAGAATGATCATCGCAGTTAATTTTCCAATTTAAGCAATTGGAAAGAAGCCTGAAAAAAAATCAGGGCTTCAACGGGATTCGAACCTGTGACCTCCGTGATACCGGTGCGATGC